AGAGAGAGAGAGAGAGAGAGAGAGAGAGAGATTGAGAGAGAGAGAGAACTCTAACAAAAGAAACTAAACTAACCTATCTGCTTATCAAGTCGTAGACATTTTCATCGTGCCTATTCTGCCAGGCACGAAATAGCTTCAAAGCCATTACTTTCCTTCATCACAAACCAAAGCATATATGATTCATGATCACCCGACTATCTGCAGGATTATAACCGAAAGATTCCTCTGGGAGATTCAATATTCCATTTCTACTGGACGGAGCTGTCGGTGGATGACAAAGAAGTCTACATATTCTCACCGGAGACAAACAATATTTTGTTGATCATCTACACCAACAGGATCTTTAGGAGCACACCTTTTGTGCCGGGAAAAGGTGTCGACAGGGGGCTCAACTTTCAGGTGAGTGTATAAACGTTTTCCTCACCACCCAGGGTAGCACAGTTTTAAGTGGCGTCGGTAGCCTTGTGGTTAGGCTACCGGACTCGTAATCGTGAGATTGCGGGTTCGGGGGTTCGAGCCTCAGCTCGGTCCGACGCTGTGTCCTTGGGAAAGGCACACGAATTTCCCATATTTGGCTCGGTCCTTTCGGAGATGGACGTTAAACTCGGAGGCTCTGCCTCTTAAATAACCTATTACTATTAGTGTTGATAGGGGCGTTAAAGCTATACCATTTCATTTTTTTTTCACACAGTTTTATTTACTCTTACTACTTTGTCACACCAAGGTTACCGGGTCGCTTTTTTGTTGAAACGTATCCATCTTGAGCCTCACAAGGTATGATTCATTACTTGAATGCTTGTGTCAATATTGAGATCTTTTCTTATAAATTCTAGCTCCCCTACCCCCCTCCGTGGCCAAAAAAATAACAACAAAACCTAAAAAACAAAAACAAAAAACCTAAACTCTCCCCCCGGTTTTTCCCATACCGTCCCTTCCACTCTTTCGTCCTGTGGACTCCCGTGGACTGTGAGAAAAGTATATAGGTCAACATTCCCCTTAACTGATCCCCTTGTGAAATTTCTTTTACACTGGTGCCAATAAACACATAAACACACACACACACACACACACACACACACACACACACACACACACACACACACACACAAGCACACACACATGCTTACTTGCAAACTAATACAAACACACACACACCCACACACACACACACACACACACACACACAAACACACACACACCCCCACACACACACACACGCGCGCGCACACAAAGCAATGCATGTGCGTGAAAACATGAAATTATACTTAATGTCACAAACACATACACAATTGCTGGTCGACACTGTGCAGAGTCCTATTTGTATTTTGAGTTATGGTTATCTTGTCTTTGTAAAAGACCGGCCCCAGTGACCACCCTTCAAAACAACTTATCACTGACACATTATGCTCTACAATATTGTGAGCCTGAGCTCACTAACTACTTTGCCACTGACTGAAATCCACAGAGGTTATAAGTAGTACTAGAGCTCGTTTGGGCTCTCGTGGTCCAGAGATTACGGTGTTCGCCTCTCTCCATCCTCAACCCCAACAGAAGACCAGTTGCCAAAATGTAGACAACAGGAATTTTACGTAATGGGGTACCATGATCGTCACAGTCTGCTCCTGACCTGACACCGAAAGAGGAAGGAGAAGTAGGCCCTAGATAGTATATCTTTTTCTATTTCAAAAATTCGTTTTAAACTCATACAAAAATGTCAAGGAACAGCTCGTGTTTTCACCTGTCAAGTTTAAACTTCAATAGATCTAGAATCTATATCTATAGATCGCAAACCCTTTAAACTCAAACTTGGCACACGCACTGACGACTAGACACAGTTTGCCAAAACAGCAAATTTGCCCACACAAGTTTCACAGCAACAGAGCAGGGCATTTTGAAACACAGCCGAAAAGCATGGAAAATGGGCTAAATGTATCTGCCTCAGCAACAGTGGTATAATAATATTATGGACTTTTGGCTAAAACTGAGTCTGGCACGTGCTAAACAGATGTCTTAGCTGTGAACATCGCTCACTTGAAACCCTTTTTAAGCCAGCATTTTTCAGCCATGTTTCATTACACCACGATGGTCCAACGATACTCGTTGCCTGATTTCGACAGAGGACGATCCCTTGCCTGGCTCCAAGATGGCCCCACGTTCCTAGTTGTTGCCTATAGACTCGGGAATGTCCCTCTGAGTCATATGGAGGTAACAAGAACGACGGTGAGCGACCGGAAGGGTCTAGGACAGGCCTTGACCAGGGCGGCCCCGTTTGACCAATTTACGGCAGGATCGACCAGGTGTCAACTACGGATGACAGCCAATGTCTACGTGAGCGAGGAGACGGTCAGGAACCGTCTCCGTTGAGTCAGGTTCGCTTGTCGTGTTCCTGCCAGGCGTCCAAGGCACATGCCGTCCCACAAAGCAGCAGCAGCTCATCGGGCGTGGTCTGCTCGCCATTCACAGTGGACACAACGTCAGTGGGACCAAGTAGTCTTCTCGGACAAATCCAGATTTAACCTGCTGCACCCAGACAGGCAAGCCCACGTCTGGAGCGCGGAGGAGAGAGGTTCCACCCTGACTGCATCCTATGATGGAGGGTCTGTTCTGGTTTTGGGAGGCTTCTCAGCTTACCACAGACTCCCCCCCCCCTTTAAAAAAAAACCCCCATATACAGGGGTAATTTGACCAAGGTAAGGTATAGGGACACAATCCTGTGTCCCCTTGCTGTTCGTCTTCTGCAGCAGGTTGGACCCCAAGCTGTTCTGCAGAACGACAACGCCACGCTACATCGTGCACGCATCGTGGGGGACTTCCTGCAGTAGTGAGGTTCTACATGCATGGACTGGCCAGCTTGTAGTCCGGATTTGAACCCAATAGAGAACATTCGTGACCACTTTGACCCCCGGATAATGGACAACCACCCTCCTGCACAAAAACTTTCCACATCTCTTGGGCTACCTCGTCCAGGAGTGGCAGAACTTACCGAAACAAGTTCTCCGAAGGCATGTCCTGTCCGTGCGTCGACGCTGTGCCGAGTGTTTGATCGAACGGGGTGGCTGCACCCACTATTAACGATGTTCATGAAGAACAATGGCCGTTCAGACTTTTAAAATCCGACCAGTGTGACTTAAACTCATTTTACATGAACTTCACGTTGTTGCTAAAATCTGAAATTGCACACATTTAAGGGGGGGGGGGGGGG